AAGCGTCCCTCCTTCCTGTGTCTGCTGCCTGGAAAGCGAGTGGCAGGCCGGTCGCAGAGGCTGGCCCGCAGCACAGGAAGGCCCACAGCCGGGACGTGCAGAGAGGAAAGCTGGGCGGCCAGCCCGTGACCACCTGGCCACCAGGCCGCCTCCGCTCCCTCACGTGCGCTGCATGTGCCACGGCTGCACCTGCTGAAGCCATAGTTTGAGGGCCCATGTCCCACAGCTGAACCGAACCCTAACCTGATTCACAAAGCGCTAACCAACCAGATTAAGCCTCTCGTCGATTCCCGTGGCCCATCAGGAGCATTCAACTCAGCATCTCTTACAGCGCTTGGTGTTTTTTCCCTTCTCATTCTCCAAGTTCACTTTAAAGAGTGGTTTTTAAACCAAAAGGAAAACCCCCCCACAATTTCTGTGATTTACTGTGCAACTGAACATGCTAAGAGACACGATGTTTTCCCCTGCACACTCGGTGCCTGGGCTTTTCTGAACACGCCGCCGGCAGGTCCTCGCGCAGAGCGGAAAGGAGCGGACCGCGTCGGAGCACCCCGCTCAGAGGGTTGCTCGTTTTTGTCTTGACTATCGATTGTAACACGCAGCCCGACAGGAAAGGCTCCACAGTGGAGGCGAGCGCTGGTATTTATTACGGCGCTGGTGTTCATTATGGCGGCCTCTGACAGGGGGCCATTACAATCAATTTTTATGTTGCTTATGTATTTTCTTTATCTAATGTTCTTGGCATTGTGTTTATTAGCCGGTTAACAAACACTGGGCTTGGAAGTGGCTGTTTTTTTTTTTTTTTCCTCTTGTCAGAAATAACGAGAACTGCAATCTTAACCCAGCTCCTCAAAATCAATGACTGGAGGAAATCAAATGTTACATTTCAGAACAAAATGCTGAGGAGGGCTTTCAGTGTTTATGCTTTGCAATCAGAGAAACAGTGGGGATCGTTCACGAAAGTGAGAGAAACGCGTCCTGCTGGAGAAGGCGACACCCTGATGTCATGCTCAGAAGGGGATTTCATGTCCTTCCTCCCCAGCTGGTCGGCCTGCACCTGGGGTGCCAAGGAGCTCCTGACAGCCATTCTGGGGCATTAGTATGAGGCTCACCTGGCCCACTGAACAGAGAACATGGGGCCTAATTTAAAAATCAAGATTAAGCCCTGGCTGGTGTTGTTCAGTGGTTAGAGCACCGGCCTGAGCACCAAAGGGTCACAGGTTCGAGTCCCAGTCAAGGGCACGTACTAGGTTGCAGGGTCAATCCCCGGTCCCATTTGGGGCATGTTCGGGAGGCAACCAATCAATGTATCTCATATCTACGTTTCTCCCTCTCCCCCGTTCTTCCCACTCTATCTGAAATCAATGGAAAAATATCCTCAGGTGAGGATTATCCAAAAATAAAAACCAAGATTAAGCGGGCACCTGCGTCACCCAAGTTCAGAGAAAGCCCCACATCACATGTTGAAGAATCAGCATTCTGTAGTCAACACCAAGCAACTCCTCTGTAAACGTACCCTCATTAAACACCTGGGGGCTCCTGAGTCAAGGGCACGGCCCTGTGCTTCTCAGAGGGGCGGCTTCTCGGGCAACGAACCCAGGTGCCCGACAATGAAGGACGCACACTTGGGCTAATTTCTACAATTGCACGTGGCCCCGCGCAACACATGCTCAGT